AACCATACTAATGAATAAATCGTTGGAATTCAACAAAAAAATATATGTGTTAATTTGCTAACAAATAACATATAACTTTTATATAACTTTTTAGTCACATGTTACTTTTATGTTATACTCACGTTATATAACTGTAACATATGTGAGTAGGAAATTACAACGAACATCTATATAACCTACTACATACATGTTACATTCCGTTTCATTACGGCAATGTAACTGTTATATATCTGTGTTTGCTGGGTTAGAACCTAAGCAATACAGACATATACGCACGCACACGTGGAGATAGTCAAATCATTTACAAACAAATTTTCTCAAGTGTATGTTATAAAGGACGATGGATAAAATGGGCTTAATTCTTTCAAAAAAATGTAACGTAAATTATATACATGTATTTATATTGTTAATGTAATGTATGTTTCTTGAGTCGCTGAATACCATGGTACTAAAATTGTCACTGACCGCATTACTATTAAGAGTTCCTTATTTTGATCCCTTCAAGATAAATTTTGACCACTTTCCCGGTGCTTTAAATGAAAAAAAAAATGCTATGCGTATTCTATGACCCAAGAAACGTAAAAAATAACATGTAAAATTTACGTTACACTTTGTAAGTAGAAATTATTTTACTCATCGTCCTTTCGTTGGCAATATGCTAGCAGTATAATATTAACAGAATATGATAACAGATTGATGACAGGAACTAAACAAAATATATCATTTCGTAACTGTTCAAGTGGAATATATAAATATATATTGGCATATGGTTATGCAAAAGAATAGGTTCTACTTTGTTTTTTGCTGGAAATTCGTTATTATATTATGTTGACAAGTTTTAACTGAAGACGAACTAAATGCAGACACAATTGATGCTAGTCGGCTAATAAACTGCCAGTATGCTATTAACATTTTATGTTTACTGAGTATATTTATAAATATGTATAATTTTAATATTATATATTATATTATAATGGTGTTAATAATTATCCATATAGCACAGAAGATGGACATTGCTGTAATATTGTAAACATTGCTACAACGTTGCAGCAATGTTGCTGTAAGCTTCCGTGCTATATGGGCACATATATATTATAATGCACGATTCTAGATTTATATTTCTTTTGTAAAAAAATGAACAATACTATTGAATGTATATTAAAATGTGTGCTTAAAAATAAACGACGAGCATTACAAAAGCCGACATGTCTACTAATATCAACAGAGCAGGAGATGGAAGCTTTTGAAATTATTGACGAGGATATCTATGAAGAAATAGTATGTTAATGAACAAATAATGTAGTAACAATTTTCATAGATCTTGAGGAAATAAATTTGTACATATACGATGTACTCGTACAATATGTTTTAATACAGGTGGACTATCTGCAATATATTGGAGGATTTACTATTAAGGAAGCAATCAATTTATCCTTTAAGGAAGTAATAAAAGACAGTTTAATGATGGTATACACGTGGTTTGGCCGTGAACGAAGTTCCAAGCCATTATATAAAACGCGGATAATAATGACAATTTATGGTAAGAGACACTGAATTAATTTTTAGAAAAATGTTTCAAATATAATATTACACATACGCATACATATACATACACCGGCATATATATATATATATATATATATATATATATATATATATATATATATATA